AAGGCGTCGAGAACGTCTTGCGTGGTGCGGAAGTCCTGGTACACGGTTGGCGCATAACCCCCGTGCCAGTGGTCGAGCCGCGGGAGGGTGAGCCGCGTCAGGCCGGGCACACGTGCAGCTATGCTAGCGGTTAACGCGCGCACGTGATTGCGGCAGGGCACGAAGTCGGCAATGATGGCGAGCGTTGTGAGCGCCGGGAAGTCGAGCGCCGCTGAGAACGTGCTGATGTCGTCGGCCGGGCCGGGCGTGAGGACGAGCCGGAGATGCGTGAGGGAAGTGCACGCCAGCCGGATGGAGTCGATGGAGCCGTGCGGTACTGCCAACGAGAGGCTCTGGAGCTGCTGGAGAGGCTCTAGAATCGACAAGAGAAGGCCGTAAGAGAGGGACTCAGAGGATAGGTCGAGGTGGGAAAGGGTGGCTGGCAGCCCCATGTGCGGAAACGGGAGGCCGAGGCGCCTCTCGCTACGGCCGCCAAATGCGAGGGCACTGACATTAGGGCAAAGTTGCAGAAGTTTCGTCGTGTCCTCGCGATGAAGATCTATCCACGATCCGGGAACGTAGTACATCACGCCCAGAGCGCAGGTAAGGGCCGCCAGGTCGGGTCTCGCCTCCATGGTCCCCAGGACGGCGGGCAGCTGTTGGACACGGTGCAGGAAAACGGTGTGATACAGATTGGGCAGCCACACCCGGTACCATGCGCGGCAGACGGGGATAATCGTCAGCGTCTCTTGGGGGTCCCGATGGGCGTATATGTCCAGAAAGGCCGGCCGCAGAAGCCAGGAGGCATTCGGAATACTCCAGTAGTCTGACTTCGAGTACTGCAGAATGTGCTCTAATACTTCGGGCGGAAGATCGTGAATCTGCCAGCGGTGAGTGTCACTGGGGTCTAGTCAAAAGCCTGAGGGCAATATACCGTCGCTTTCTGCACTTGAAGACCGGACATCGTGGAAGGAAGTCAAGAGGCCTGGGCCACGTAACGGTCACGTAATCAATCATTGGGGCTCTCGCGTTATGATCAAGCAAGAAGTAATGAGTTCAAATTGTTAGTCTCGCCAATTACAATTATATTAGAGAGATAATACTTATATTGGTAATACTTATATTATTACTCTTATATTAAGCAGATGTCGTGTGAATTATGCACATGTTTGGCATTAGCTTTGACAATTGATTTGCTCCACACTTCCATTTTTGGGGTTACTGCTGTTAAAGTCCTAAATTGGTGAGAAAAGCTGTAAAATGTGACTAATCCCGATTGGGATGCAAAGCTGTAAGTGATGTCTTGCACCCAGTACTGTGAACAAGTTGTATCTAAGGTTATCTACAATAGGGTGCTGTAAGTTGATCTGGTTTACAAACCAGTTAGAAACGTGTTTTTAAAAACAGTGTTAGTTTTTAATTCCTGGAGGTGGGAGGTGTTTGTAAACAGCCATGTGTGACATTATATATCACATCAGTCACATCAGTCACACAATCAACACTACCAAATATAGTAATTTCCTTCTGGATAGTAGGGACCTAGTTGTTGGGATGGAAAATACTGTTGCTATGAAGGGGCAGTCTAATGATAGGGTGGTACCATGTCATAGAATTAGTCCTACTGAATAATTATTATTGACACTAAGGTATATTAAGTAATCCCCCCTTGTTTCAAAAACTGTTTATAAACACCCCTGTTTTTAAAAACTGTTAGAAACACCTGTAAGTATTGGCTGGGGAATTACTTACAGCACCCTAATCTACAAGTAGATATATTCTCAAATCACCCACAAATTGAGAAATAAGTACACATAGTTTAGTAACTTGGGTTGCACTTGACATATAATAGCAACAGATATTTAAGAAGGCTATTGAGTATCTGTGCCATTCTGTAATTAGTGGCAATGTTCTTAATTCAGAAATTCATGTTATTCAAGCAATATTCAAGTTCAAAGCTACACCCCAGCCCTGTCTAGTATCTAGTAATCATATCATATTCAGAGCCTCAACACAATAATATATTTATCACATCGTCGTTTCTGCCTCAAAATGGGCCCAAAGTGGGATTAACTTAAATAATAGACAAAAAATATGTATATTTTAACAACTTGGAAAGATAACAAATAAAACTTCTAGAAAGCAGACTTGATTTATATAAAATTGGGGCATATATCAAGTTATCCATATTGGACTCAACTCCAAGCTAATATCAGTTGATGATCTTGTGGCTACAATTTATAGCCCCCTAAATGTTACAAGATATAAGACCATATATATCAAAAATCGGGGACAGCACCAAAGTATACCTGATCTGTTAGAAATAAGTGACAAATTGCCATTATATATGATAAATCACCCTTATATATAATAAATTGGAATAATATGACACCATTTGGTAAATATTTGGGCTCAAATGAGATACACTTATTGTCTACAAAAGATGGTCAGGAAGGAGGGTAGTTACAATATATGCTATATTTGATACCTCAATGCAGAACTTGATTTCTTGTAAATTAGATACAATTTTTGTAACTTTATTACATATCAATTGAAGCAGCAAAAAAGGGTATCCGTTTAGACTGAATGCTATAGTTGTCAGGGGAAACCTGATGCCGTCACTTGATCCCATCAAGCGCCACGTCTCCGCTCACGTCTCCGCGTCTCCACTCGCGTCTCCGTGTCTCCACCGAAGTCTCTGTATTCCTGCACCCTGATGCTCCTCCTCTACTTCTCCCACCACATCCCGCATCCAGTGGTCCCTAACCTCTGACTCCCATAGCCACCCCTTTCTGAGAGTCTCTCCAGAGTCACCATTGGGGATCACTAATGCCATCAGAGACCTCTTCGGATGTGGATGCACCACTTTCCTCTGAGACCTCGAGATCCCAACCTACGTCAGTGTTCGGGCCTATGTTCGGGTGGCTGAGCCCTGTCATGGCTCCGCTCCCTACTCCGCCACCACGGCCCCCGTCATCGGGTCTTCCTTTGGGTGAGGCCTACTGCTGTTAAGGCTTGTGCCTACTACAGCGCCCCAGGCTGCACGCCCTCACACCTCCACCTCTCTGCCAGGGACGTCTCCGAGTGACCCTCCAGTCACTACCCTCCAGTGGTTATGGCTGGCCGCCATTCCCATTGGTCCTCTCCGACACTCCCCGGCCCTTGGGCTAGACCGACTCCTTCCCTCTCTGCTCCATGCCCCCCTCTCCGTTTCCGGCCGTCACGTCACGGTCACACACCCGGAATCGATTCCGATGCCGGTTGTCACGGTCACGGTCACAAGCGGAGACGCCCAGAGGCAGTCTGGACCCCCCGAAGCCCTTCCTGGGCCTTCTAAAGATGCCTGGGCTCTTCCCTTGGCATCATGGTCCCAAACCTGCCTCTCCGGAGCTTCAAGGGCTACTCGACACTTAACTAGGGTCAATTAGTGACACCTGACTTCTCCCATGCATCGTTTGTCGCTATACAGTCACTCTATCATTACTTCGGTCACTAGTATATAGTAGTACACCTGAGCAGAGGGCTCCTTAGCTTGTTCTCTAAGGATTCCCCCTCTGCTCAGGACTCTGATTTCGAGCCTCGCAAGGTTGCGCTTACAATAGTAGTTGCCACAGGAAAATTTGCTGGACTTTGAGGGTAACTTGCTTTCAGGCCTTTTTAATTCCCTTTGGACCTATAGGGACTCTCAAGACACCAGGGGCATTGCTCCAAGGATTAAGTTGGCTAGTGCCCAATAGAAACCTGATCAGAGGTCTGAGTCCTACAGTTGCGGACAATCAAACTCAACAACTCTTATAGCCCCGATACTACTCGTAAAAATATTCATATTACTGCATAAAATGACAATAAGAATATATTCTACACTGTCAAGAGTTGAAAAAGTTTCATTTTTTAGGTGAGGTAACGTAAATCGCTTCGCCGTACCGCGTTTCTCACGCTACGGGCACGTGACCGGTACCATTCGAAAGGGAACTTTCCGTTGTCTCCAACGGCACTATCTGCGAAAGATTCCATCGAGCTGTTCCCGAGAAATCAGCGAAGTAATTGTTATAGACAAACTGTTGAAAAGAATTTCCAAGATGCTAAAGACCAAGCACTGGAATATTTAAATGCATGCCCACCTGAAGTGATTAGAAGGTTTATTCAAAGATTATGGAGGTTTATGAAGATCATGGAGGTTTATGAGTGCCTACAGAATGGGACTTACTGGAAAGATTGCTGCATGGGCTGTCAAGAAGCAAAAGTCACACAGAGCATGTAATGAGAGTATATTGGCTGAGATAGATAAGGCAGGAGTCAATAAGTAATAGTTTCTTTCATGTATATAATTAATATAGTGGCCCAGAGGCTCACTGAGGTACACAATGTTGTTGTTGAAATGGTCCAAAATATTTGCCGTCCGCGATTTCTCGTGGGAAAATTTGTCAGTAAGGGTTTTTTTAGGTGCTGAATCTGATTCTGAATGGAGCTGAGGCTAATTTGTACTCAATCTTGTGTAATAGAAGTTGTCATGTTTGATTGTCCGCAACTGTACATAGACTATGTTCAGTGGAGTGATCCTAAAATAATTACCATTGAAACTCATTTCTACTATGGTAATAGTACTGAATGTATTGCTTCCAAGTTCATGGAATGACTCTAGAATATATAATGGATTACATATAACATTAATTCAAAGTTTTGTTTGTAATACGGTACATGCGTCCATCGGAGAACTACCAAGTAGTATGTGACTGTATGTCTAAATCAGACTAAGGTAATATTAGTAAGCACGCAGATCGGAAAAAATGGCTATCACAATCCACCTTACTATGTTTGAATATTCTGTGGCCATAATATAGTATAGTCATAATATAATATATTATGTCCAAACACAGTTGTATCCAAAGGCATAATATATTCATACCATTCTGAATACATTCAATATTTAATCAACCATTCTATAATTTTGGCCAGCACTAAGTTCAATACAGGTCCGAAAACATGATCAGCGATCTATATATTCGAAAGCTCCACACGACAGGCTAAAACGTGAACTTCTCCCCAACGATGTCCTCCGTGATCTCCCACAGCTTCTTCGCGGTGTCCTACCACGGCAGATTAATGAAAGCAGATGCATGTCAGAAGACAGACGCACGGGATCGGTGCTGTGCGGCGCGGCCGCCTCGTTCGCGAGCACGCAGTCGTCGAGATAGGATCCAGAAAAGTCTTCGATGCGCGGGTCAAAGGCCGCCACGACCGTCCTACACGACCGTCAGTGCCCGGAGGACAGTCCATCAGGCGAAATTGCACGTGGCAGCACCCTGCTCGAGTGTCTTCCAGTCGAACTTCTCGCGAGAGGGTGTGCCGTCCTCGCCGAGCGCACCGAGGGCCTTGAAAAAGGGCACGGCGAGGTCAGCAACAAGCATGTTTGTGTAGACCACTGCGAGAAACGGTCAGTCCGTTGCCCACAGTAAATAACCGCTTACATCCGGGATTCAGACTAAAACTGTTGATCCTCCCGCCGGCACGGCGCGACAACTCGCCCGCAGTGAGCACATTCGCAGACTTGACCTGGTGGTACGCATTGCGCGTGTCGTACGTGGCCGCATCGGGCCGGGTGAGCCCCGCAAAGTCGACGCCGCTGTTGTCGAGCGCATGGGCCACGCTCGAGACCCACACCACCCGCGGGGTGAAGTTGGTGGAGCCAGCGGCGAGCAGCTTGGGCACAATGAGGTTGGTGAAGAGGAACGGGCCGACATGCCCGGTGGCCATCTGGCTCTCGAGACCATCGGGGGAGAGCGAGAACTCGCACCATGGGCGGGCAGCATTGTTTATAAGGACCTGAAACGACTTGAGAGCCAGGAAAACGAAAAGCAAATGAACACGCACATGAATGGGCTCAGCATATGCATTGACCTCCGCAGCGGCCTTGCGGACGGCGGCGAGCGAGGCAAGATTGACGTTGAGGGTACGGACATTGGCGGTGGGAAAGCTTTTGCGGATGGCGGCAGCGGCGAGGTTCAGGCTGGCGTCAACGGCCATTAGTTCACAGAAGATATATCTGAGCAACGGCCAACGCACCGCTCGTCGTTATGCCCTGTAATGACAACAAGATTCGCGTGCTTCGCAATCGTCCGCGCCGTCTCGTAGCCAAGCCCGTTGAGCGACGTTCCGGTGACCAGTACTGTGTCAATGAGCCAGCGCCTGACCATAAGACACACACGACGCACCGTTCTTCCCGCGGATACGCTCCGCAGACGCGTCTGCGACTGCCTCAGCGGTGGTGGTCGCGTCAAAAACAGGGAGTGATCTGGCAGCCATTGCAGGTGTGGATGGCCGTCATTGCCTTTTCTTCAGCCCTATATATGCGCTGTAGAGGCCTCTTGAAATCACGCTGAGTCGCTGTCGGAGGGGCTTCCGTGAACGTGGGGCAAACGGCGCTCGGAGTGGTGGGATGGGCCAAGACGGCGGCATCGGCTGGAACGTGACGTCAGCGGGTTTTGATTTGTGATATCAATTTCAGAACGTAACAAATGTGTTTGCTCCTGTTTGCTCTGTCATGCACTGGGAGTGTTACAGCTATGTATCAGGTGGGATCCCATCGGATTGCCATCGGATTGACCAACTTTGTTCAGGAACCCATTGATATTTTGATAAACATCGGGGAGATAAAGAGGACGTTGCTATGCTACTAGTATGCAGTGTCGATCCATCTTTGCTCTTGACCGCCATGTCTACAGCTTCCTCTGGCCCTCCCCAATCCAATGTCTTTCACTTGAATGTCTCAGGTTTGAGAGACTAGCTGCACCATTGCCTGCTTAAAGGCTAATTCTCTGTAGGTGGGCAGGGTGGGACTGGTGGCATGGGAAACTTAAGTGGAGGAACCGGGGGAACCGGAGAGGGACCCCAGCTCAACATACAGGGATTAAACAATGAAATAAAGTGGGTTTCTTGTCTTGTTAGCAATAAAGCAACTAAATATTACTGCAACAGCACCTACATGTATGGTCCCCAAGTGCCATCTACAACACATGGGCAGATTGCACTTGACTGGGTTTCACCCATCAATTTCCGTCTCCGGCAGCAAGAAATACATGAAATTCGTCAAGAAAACACAGGAGAATGGATATTGCAACACAAGCAATTCAAACAGTGGGAAGCAGATCCCGGCCTGATACTCTGGTGCCCAGGAATTCGTGAGAGAATTATTTGTCTAGTTATTTGAATTTGTTATAATTGTCATCCTAGCTGGTGCTGGCAAGACTATTCTTGTGTAAATGCTTTCCTATTTTCATCTGGAAATCATAACAATTAATCTTATTTTCAGCTCAAAGGTCATTGATTATCTTACTCAAAAGTATAAGAATGATCCTGCTATTGGTATTGCCTGTGTCTATCTGGACTACAAAAATGCAGATACCCAAAGTGACAAGAATCTTCTAGGTGCAATCTGGAGACAGCTTCTATCTATGAATCAAGCCATTATCAGTGCTCAAGAGCTATTTGACAAATATCATACACAGCAGGGAACTCTAGCAAGCATCAAAGATATACAGGATCTGCTATTATTGGCAATATCTAAATTGTCCCGGGTTTTCATTATAGTAGATGCTTTAGATGAATATGCATCTCAAGATCCAATAAACTTCCTGAAGGGTTTAGCCCAAACAGGAAATGCTGTAAGCATTATGATAACTACAAGACCAACCATATCATTACCATTGGATATGCCTGCAATTTCACTAGAGATAATTGCACATGAATCTGACATCACAGAGTATACCAAAGCACAATTACAAACTTATTCATTTCAGAGGCTTATTGGCAGTAACCAAGCTCTCAGGGAAGAGATCATCAAAGAGATGAGTCTGACAGCCCAAGGAATGTAGGTTGACCTGACTATGACTATTATTCTAGCTTAATAACATCCAGGTTCCTTATAGTGAAACTTCAAATTGAACTTCTGTCATCATCATCAAGTGTCAAGAAACTTAAAAATGCACTCAAAACCTTGCCTACAACTCTAACTGCAAATTATGAAGCTATTATGCAGAGAATCCAAATTCAAGATGAGGAGCAACAAAAAATAGCTCAGGAAACCTTATTTTGGGTAACTTATACCAAGAGACCTCTAACAGTTCATGAATTACAAACTGCATTAGTATTTAGAGAGGAGGCTACAGCTCTACCTGAACAAGATTCATATATTCATATTGACTATGTGCTGAAGGCATGTTGTGGTTTGGTGACAGAGGATCAGCAAACACATATTGTCAGACTTGTGCATTATACAGCACAAAGCTTTCTTGAAAACAGGGATAATAGTGCAAGTATGCAAGTTGCAATTACATCTGCATTGCTATCATATCTTGACCTATCAACTCCATTCTGTGGGACTGCACAGTATAATAACTTACCACTCCTGAATTACTGTCAGTACCTGCTTCTGCACACACTTGGCCAGCCAGAGACAGAGCTTGAAAATAATATTATTCTGGCTCTACAACAGATTAAGACAATACCAGAATCATGGATTATATTACCTTGGTCCTACCTAAAACAAGTTGTTGATTTGAATGCACTATGGATAGCAGCAGCAGGCAATCTGCTAGAGATTGCAAAAGCAATGCTAGAGACCCAGCAACCTAAAGATGAGATAGCAATAGCAGCTGCAATAGGATATACTGATATGGTCGAGCTTTTGCTTATCTATGGAGCAGATATCAATAGTACAACAGATGCTGGCAGGACACCTCTCCATTGGAGTGTTTGGGGGGAATCCAAACCTGTTGCCAGTTTGCTCATAAATTGGGGTGCAAACATCAATGCTACGAGTTTATATGGAACACCACTTCAAATTGCAGCCCGCTTGGGAAATATAGAAATTCTTGAGCTGCTTCTGGCACAAAATGCTGATATGAATATTATTTCTGGATTCCATGGAACTGCACTTCAAGCTGCTGCAGTATGTAACAATGACAGTATTATCCAGCTGCTGTTGGCCAATCATGCAGATGTTAACCTTGTAGGTGGCATGTATGGAACAGCACTCCAAGGTGCAATCTATGGGGCAAATAAAGAAATTATAGATGTACTTCTTGAGAATGGGGCAGATGTCCATCAGACAGGGGGCCAATTTGGTGCAGCACTTCATGCTGCTGTATTGTGCAGAAAGCCTGAAATTATTTCCATGCTTCTAGTTTATGGTGCAGATGTCAATGCTATTGGCAGCCATTATGGCCCATCCCTCCCATTGATTACTGGCAATGGTATTGAGGATATTGAGCATCTATATAAGCCTACACGTGTGGGAAGTCAGTATGGAACACCACTCCAAGCTGCAGCTATCAATGGGCTCAGGGAAACTGTGGAAATGCTTTTGAGTAATGGTGCTGATGTTAATCTTACTGCAGATAAAACACATATCACAGCCATAGAAGCTGCAGCATATATGGGATTTATAGACCTAGTACAATTGTTTTTGAATGCAGGTGCATATATAAACCAAGGAAGTCTACAATTCACAGGTCCCCTTCATGCTGCAGCACTCTCAGGAAACTTTGATATTGTCAGGTTACTGCTAGAAAATGGTGCTGATATTGATTTGAGAGGTGGGACCTATGGAACAGCTCTTCAGGCTGCAGCATATATGGGACATGAACCTATTGTTCATTTCCTTGTAGCCAGAGGTGCTAATATTGATATAGTGGCAGGAGGCTATGGAACTGCTCTTCATGCAGCAGCCATCCAGGGATTTCAAAACATTGTTCAACTTCTTACCAGCTCAGGTAAGATTCTCATTCCTTAAGTAAATGTACTAACCAAGAGCTTTCATCCCAGATTTTGGCTCAGACAATGAGTCATTCTATACAGCACAAGACTCAGAAGAGGAGCTGGACTAACTCAACTGACTCAACTAATTGCTATTTAGCTGAAAGTGACTCAGAGAACCAAAAACCTGTTTACCAGTGTGCTTAGTGAATATTTGAGTTGAATCTGCTGGCACAAGTGTATTGAGTCAAGTCTCTACCTTATAGAATTGTTTTTTTAAACTTCTGTGATACTGATTCATTTTGCTATGTATTCAAATTTCAGATTAGTGCTGTCCATAAATAGATATCTTTGAATAAATATTGAATATGTTTGTAAGGGCAACCCCGGAGGCCTGAGATCAAGGTCCTAGCAGGGGAGGATCCAAAGCGTGAACATTGGTAAGCGAATACAAATGAAGCTGACCTAGCAGGGGAGGATCCAAAGAGAAGAAACTCTGAGGGTCCGCCTGCTAGGTAGCTGACTATATACTGCTTGTCCGTAGCTGCCACTGTCGGGCACAGAAGGCTTGGGCGGCGTCGCAGGCGAGGTCCCAGGGCGACCGTCGGGAGGGCATTGACGGATCGGTGATTGTGCGGGCGAGATGGAGGGCCGGACCGGAGTCGGAACCGGAGTCGGACCGGAATCGGGCGCATCTCCGGGCCGAAAGGGAGGTTCCCCTGACAATTCTTAAGCTTTTATTATCAAGAAATATTGCTAAGTGCTGCAGCACTGCTGCTCACCAGCTAAAGGTATCTTAAAGAAGTGAGCTAGAAGCTTGGCCAAGAATCTTGTATATTCAGGGTCTCAGAATTGAATAATTGTTTCCAGGCAACAGCATCCTCATTGGGTTTGAGATTTGCATAATAGTTACAGCCTCTCTGCCAGTCTGGTGGTTATAGTTGGCACATAAATATGGAGTTTAAGCCAATATAGATAGCTAAAAGTTATATTAATATATTGAATATATTCATATCATGTTCAATATCTGCAGCTGAGTATAAACATAATTTACTACAAATACTGTCTTATTTAGGTCAACTATCCATGGGACACATTACATTGACCAAAAAAGTCCTTGTGAAAAAATCACCATAAATCAAAATATTTTTTTGGTCCCAAATTTTGAAAAAGGGTTAGACACTTGATTGAAACGGGACAGTATATTATGTTTCTCAATAGGTGAATATGATATAAGTATACTATCATGACTGGAATACATATTATTTTCATATTTGGCTACAATTTGGCCAGCACTAATTCAGATTGTGTATTGGAATACTTAGTTGAAAAAGAAACTTACTCATCTATCTGCTCAATTTTTCTTACCTGTAGGACTCGGGGCTACAGACTTTTGCATAATGGAGTGCAGTCGTGATTTTGGATTTGTGTGACAGCTGCCACCTGTTTTGGGCTGAAATCAGGCATAAGGGGGATCGGAAAGGCTCGGGAATGTCAGCCGATGCCACACTTATGCCAAAAATCAATCAAAAATGGCGAGAAATCAAAAATCGGACTGCATTGCATTATGCAAGACCCTGTAATTCGAGTTGTGATAACAAAAAATGTGTGATTATTGGAGTATTTTGAATAGTCTTGGATATTCTCTATATGATCAGACCCCCCAGCATACTTAGTTGACATTATACTATGAACGCACCAGAAGAAGTAACTACTGACAGTTTAGATATGTGCACAGCAACCACCACTATGGAAATTCCAAGTCAGGATCATGGTGACTACACCTGCTCCTGCTCGACCTCCACTGGCGGTACAAGTCCAGGAATCCAATCCACTTGCACGATACTAGGCAACCCCTCAAAACACGTCTTAATCTGCCGTATCGTGCCATATTGATCATAATTTTTGGCACCACAGTCCGCCTTGACACACCGCGCGTCCCAACACGCCTTCGTCTCTGGCCACGAATGCATTCCCCCGACGACGGCCTCGCCGTAGATGCCGAGCGCCTCGCCCGACGGCTCTTCCTCCAGACAGCGGATGAGCCGCGCCTTGAGTGCCCGCCAGGAGGAGTTGTCGAGCGGTGTTCGCGCACAGGCAGAGCAGAAGAACGGCGAGCTGTTCCCCGCGAGGAAGCGCTCGGGCGAGTTCAGCCGCGCGCGGAACATCGCGAGGCGTGTGCGATGCAGGCGGAGCAGTGCGAGGAACGCCGGGCCGGCGAGCGTGCCGATGATCTCCGCCTCCGCGGCGGTCGGCGACAGGAGGTCGGTGTCGAGCGTGTGGGAGGAGGCGAGCTGGATCTCGGGCGTCCAGTCAAAGTGGACGGAAAGGGCGTAAGCGCGGAGGGGATTCTGTCCCAGGAACCAGGGGGCGGACAGGATGGGGCGGAGCGTTTCGAGGGCGCTGGGCATGGCCCAGCGGTCGGCGAGGAAGAACAGCTCCGAGATCCCCGTGGGCTCGAAGGAGTCCCAGGCGGGTGTTGAAAGGCCGCAAATTATGCGGAGGAGCGGTTCGAGTAGAATGTCGGGCTCATATACGTCCAAAATTCCGAGAGGAGCCGCCGAGGGGAGGGTAAACATTGTCGCGAAGAACTCCGACGTCGTGCGGAGAGTGTGCATCGGAACAGCGTACAGCGTCCCCTGTGTGGAGCAGAGTGTGATTGTCGGTATGTCCTCGAAGATGGAGGGAGAGAAACAGAAAGCAGGGTGGTAGCGACATTCGGGAATGGGAAAGGGCGATGTTGAGCGTGTCTTGTATTCGTCTTTGGTATCCGTTTGGAATGATTCAGCTTCTGTCGAAGGCTGGGTGTAGTTCAGTGGGGCAGCCATAGTTGCGGAAAGGACGATAGGAGAGGAGAAGAGACGAGTTGTGTACTAGTATCCCCGGTGGCGCATGCCCTGGCAGCTCGTCCTCGAGGCCAGGGCACGGCCCGCGCGCATTGCTCATTGCGTCGCACGATCGAAATGCACGTCGCGTCGTCCGATAGGTTTCGCGTACCCGTAGCGGAGATGGGGAAGGACACGTGTTGTTCGTATGTCAAACAATGCATATCCGAGTACACGATGGTCGGGACTTGCGGCGATCGGGAACATGAGGCGGGGAAGTCCACGGCTAACAAACAGCACATGGCAAGGAGCTCCCATGTAGAAGACGGCAATTGAAATCAAGGATGGGAAGAATGCGCCACCGTGTTGAACTAGGGATTGAATAAATTGCATGTCGTGGGTGCGGTTCAGTCCCACCGTGGATCGACGGTTAGACGGATCTGACTTCGGGTAGAACGAAACCAGTATACTCAGAAGATGAAACAAGCGGTATTAGTTTGGCTTAAATGAGGACCATTCGATGCTGGCTTCAACTTGTTTAGAACGATAAATAAGGAGAAATGAAAGCAAACCAAGATGAAAAACGTCTCCCTCATGGCGATACTACTCAGGTTAGCCACGAGTGTCTTCTCCTCTTCCCAATCCGAGGTACGCGATTCCCATTTGTTGTGCAAGCATATGGCGGTGGCAGCTCGGCGCTCGCTCCCAAGGGAGTTGGGACATCGCGCAGTGAGGGAATCGACGACATCTGAGTCTGGTACTGGCTGCTTGGAGACGTGGACGATTCCGGAGCATCAACGAAGGGCGAAACGACACTCGCGGCGGGTAGCTGCTTGGTCTGGCGGAGCCGAGCACGGCGACAAAGCAGTAGATAGATGCACAGTAGGCAGCCAAATATGACCAAGACCCCGCCGATCGCCCACGATATGATAACGACTTTGGATGTCGAAGTGATGGCGGGGAGCACTGGTGGTGGGTTCACCGATACGGTGGGACTTGAAAGCCCAGCAGAGCTCGCTGATTTTGCTGAGCTTGAGGTTGTATTGGAGCAGGTGATGTCGCTCGAGCCGGTAGTGAGTACAAATGGGACGCCCGTAGCCCATTTCCCGGTCCTGCGATCGATTCAGCACTCAAATTTAGATCGAAAATCCGTAGGACACCTACGAATCGCTCGCGGCCGCTTGATTCGTGGTTATGTATCAGCACAGTCGCAAGTAGACGCGAAGGAGGAGCCCACCGATCATCTGTCTGCCCGGAAGGGCGCGATTGGTGTAGTTGTACTCCCGCACGTTTGCGCCTAGGGTGATGTTTGTGATGTCGGAAGAATCCGTCGCTGCGACAGTTAACACGAGCGGCGGGGTACCGCCCGTGATTAACATAGACCACGCAGCACAGGTCTGCAGGGAGGCGTTCGAGTCCCGGGCGGCAAAAAGTGTGAAAGCGGGCGGTCCATGTGCGGTAGATGGAAGGCAGGAAGAGGTGCCATCTAGTCATGGGTTGAAGTCCCGTATCACGAAAATAACCAGAGATAGATACTCACCTGGTACCGTATACAGTTTTGTGTCGACCCCGCCCGAGGTACCGCGCCCGTCCACAAGCGCGAGGATAAGTTGTTTGCCTGTGAACGAAGTCGTCAGAGAAATCTAGTGAAGGCAATGAGAAAGTTGCCTATTGGGAAGCGCGCGACCCATTGCAGCGTGGTCGTGTTCCGTCCGATGAGCTCTATAGCCGGGTTACCCCTGACACCGAGAGGATAGACGCCAAGGTAAAATGGCGCGATGGGGGAATAGCGCGGCGCAGACTTTGGGGCGCCTTGTAAAGGGAGAGGATTGACGAAGAGTGCCAGCGGTACGCATGCGGGGAGCGCAGCGCCAGTCTGCAGGTAGACAAAGCTAAGTGAACGTGAAATAATGCTAGGGACGAAGAGGCTTACGGTGTCGCTGAACCCCCATTCAAACATCTGCTGGGATTGCGTGCTTGACGCTGCCGCTGCGACCAGAGAACCCCAGAAGAAGACAAAGAGCATGCTGAGCAAGACGTTGCCAGCCATAGTGGGAGTCCAAGAAGACCGTGGACTCAACGCCCTTATAGCGAAGAAGATCACGATGCTCCCCTTGGACGGAGATGGGCGTTTGGACTAGGAACGGTAGAAGGGTACCGCCTCGCAGACGGGAGAAGCTTCTGTGCCGGTTTTGGCGCACGGCGCACTGCATCGAGGGATGAAGAAGATCGGAGTGATAACAGCCCGCGTCAGTGCTGGTAATTGACGTCCTAAAGCGTTCAATTGATCAAGATATCCCATTTCGTTGCTCGCACCCAGATAGTATCGACCACCTCTCAAGAAGCACGTCGCATGTCGTCGGAGCTGTCGCTGATTTGAAGCCAGCTTTGACTTCCGCCGTCTGTCAAGTACAAAGTTGAGCGTTGTCTGGCTTTGATGCTGCGAGACTGGAGAGTTTCGCCCAAGGAGAAGGCAAGGGCAAAGGCCGACATTGCATGACGTGGGAGTTGGGGACAAGCATCACCATGTCACATGGTTCTCATCAATCTATCAAATCATCAACAGCCCATATCGGGTCGGTGACGTGGCTGAATGACCTCCTCTCAACAAACCCTCACTTCCGTCACTCCCGCCCCAACGCCCCATCCGAGCGCGGGGCCCCTCTGTATCGAGTGCTCGTGGCGTGCCAACCGCGCGCCCACGCTTCACAACGGGCAATGTGTCGAATGCAAGCGATGGTTTACGACGGGGATGGATCCAGCCATGGCTGCGGTGCGTCTCTGCCTCGTTTGCGAAGCTCACCGCAACTAACCATCCGGACAGCCTGTCCCTGCCACGGGTGTCGTGCCGTATAACCCGTGGCCGACGCACGCGCCGTACCCGCCCCCGCCGCCTCCCTACCCGTATCAGTTCATGCCCATCCAACCACCCGCGCCGCCCCCCATCATCCGCTGGAAAGACCCAGCTATCGAAGCTACACACACCACTGTTCAGCCAAGCCGCCCCAGGAAGCGACGACGGACTGCCGCAACAACACCAGCACCGGCACCCTCAGCAGATTCCACTTCCGTGCCAAGATCCCTCCCAAAACCACCCCCACCGTGTCCATATCCGATTCCTGACCCTCGTGGGCGGACAAAGCCAGTCGTAGTTCCTTACTCAACGCGCGATGGGCCTCCACCCGAGCCGATTCGGTACCAGAACCTAGCGCTCTTGCTTAAAGACCTTAATCGGTTATTAACGACACCGCACGAGGGACGGGAGTTTCATTTTGTGGGGACATACTCCATCGTCGCCCAGGTCTATCGTGGCGAGAGGGGGAGGGAACGACAGCGCGGCTTGCTGGAGGATCGATTACGCAGCGTTGCATGGGAGGTGCTAACCAGTACGGGGGTTGTCGTCAAGTGTGTTCCCCATCTCTCTTCATCCGAGCATTATCTTATTTATCACCACCATAGCGTACCCGGTCTAAAGATCAAATACGGCGACATCGACATACCTTGCGCACACACTACCGCGGCAACGATGGCCAACTGGGCACATCCAAACTTTCCTCTCACTTCCGACTCCTCCAACGTGCCGTCCATTCCACCGTGTCCACGCTGCTACCACACCCTCTCCGTCCGTGTGACCTCGCTGTCTGACGCGGAGCTCGACGCTGTGCCTGGATGGGCGGCTGGTCGCAAGGCGATGCTCACACGCGGAGAGGAGCTGACTGTCGGTGCTGAACGAATCGAGCTAGGCTTGAAGCATGATCCCGGGCAAGGAGCGTGAAAAGGGATGTGTTTTACTTGGGCATGCTGGTATACTTTTGTGCTTGATTAATCTGTTACTGTTGGCTTATACTTTGTCTGATGTCAATTTGTACGCGGTGATCGACTGCTTTACCAAAATATTCAACGATGGTACATTGTGGTGACGATACAAGTGGAAGTACAGCAATAAATAAACAGGTAAGTGACCTTCTTTCTTTCTCGCAACGCATCGAACAACATAGATAAAGATGGCGAAGATGGTTCCAACGACCAACGGCCGCAATGTTCAGTCCTCGTTGCAAGCGGGCGCACCCACCAGCTGCAAGCGTCTGCAGAGGAGTCAACGGCGAAATGCATCAACACCGCTTTTACTAGTACCTGCGATTCCCGCGAGACGTCAGAGGGATGACCGGGAGTTGCGCTCTCGGGCCTATAAAATGCGCTCTTGGGTTGGAGGTCACAGCGTGCGCTGCCCGCGGGACGTCGAGTGGACGAATAGGGATCGTGAGAGCCAGTTCCGGTCTGGGAGGCCGCGTGGTTTCTGGAGCGCCCTTTTCAACTTTGTCCACTTCAACTTTGGGAACTTGAATACGCTGACGTGGTCCACATGCCAGTGGGAACGGGTTCACCGAAGGCATAGCCCGTTCCTGCGCCTCCAGGCGAGTCAGACCTGGCTTCTCAGAACAAAAAGACTGCTCACCGTGACGTCTGCATTATGATCGGCCCGCAGGAGCTCGTTGGCTTGGAGGAGCACCGCATATTTCTCCGCAGCGACCTGGAAGCAGTTTAAGCCCCAAATGGCTTCACTGTTTGAACGAAGGCCAGCACGTACATCGTTCTGTGCTTCAGCCATGTCGAGCTCCTGACGCAGCATTGCATTTATCTGCAAGTATAGCATCAGCAAAGAACGACAGCAGGCTCGACACCACAGGGGCCACAGCGGACAGTGGACGCACCCTCTCCAGATTAGCGATCTTCTTGGATTTCATCTTGTTGTCGGCCTCCATGAGCTGCCCGCGCTTTTTCAGATTCTCGATGCGCTCGCGGTGGGCGCGGACCTCCCCTTCGAGTTTCAATGCGACCGTTTCGAAAAGCACATGTTTTTCGTCGAGGGCCTGCCACAGCTAAGTATGCGTAGACTTCCCAAAGCGAAGAGGTGGACGTACTTTTTGCAGCCGCTGCTGCTCCATTCGCGCTGCATCTTGCCCCTGGCATGCGACCTGCGAGTACCAGTTAGAATGGAAGAGAGGAATGACGAGTCGCGATCGACGACTAACTTCGGCCTCGAACTTCGCCAGCGCCAGGTCGGCGACCGCCTTGGCGTGTGCCGTTTCGAGTGCGATGACGTCCGAAGGTTGGTTCGCAGGCTGAGTCGCAGCAGCAGGGTCCGAGAGCGACTGGGGGGGTCAGACGGAGAAGGAAACCTGTGAAGGGCACTGACATTGGGCGTGTCGGTCTCGCTGACGACGCGGAGGCGCTCAGTAAGTGTCTCGACCTCTTGTTGCTTCGCCTGGAGCGCGCGAGCTAGCATCGGCACGACGAACGCGAGGATCGGGTCAGGTGGCAACTGCGAAGTCATGTTGCTTCAAGCTGGTGGTTGGGGGGTGGGGGTGGGGGAGCACCGTCGAACGACACGAAGAGAAGGCAAGTCTTAAATGGCGACACCTTGACGCCCAGCTCGCGCTTCGAAGATCCCGACAGTTTGCAGAAGCATCACGATCGAGCTGCCAGAAAGGTAAAAATTCTATCTGGCGTGGCAGATTGCCATCAGCTCCACGGGCCATAAAGGGAATGGGCTCACCCCAAACTGATGGACTTCGAACTGACGCGTTTTGGGGTGGATCATGTAAAGAGAAGTGCAGCTTCAAGTGCTGAATCCATGAATCATCATTATGATGATAATGATTGTACGAAGAAGTATAATATATTGGAATCAGTCAGACCCTGCACGTTCCCGCTAGAAGCCGAGCTCGTTCGATGTTTCTCTCATCAGTCCCGATTTAGCCCACTGGAGAGTGGCACTGGAAGCTTAAGACTGTCGACAAATATGTTGCTGTGCACAAGTATATGTCAAAATCAACTACCTAATGAAATTTAAGCATGTCTGAGCTTTGGAATCACTTTGGCACTGTCTTGGAAATGACATTTTATATCTTACAAGTTCAAATTACATCTTCTTACCACTCGACCAAATTTCATGTGCAACATAATCAACAGGAATTTTATTTTCATCTTTATATTGAATTGCAAAGGCTATTACATCTCAAATGATTATATTTCCTCTGTGTTGATATACACTAGGTCATAAGAAAAGACATGATATGTGGAACAACTTGATGAATGATGAATAGTGCTAGCCACAAATAAATACCATATCTTTAAATAGATAAATATATTCTAAATATTATTAACATAACATAAGATTGCAAACCTTGGATATTAATACTATATCACATATTATATATAGATCATATTACTTCCTAGAAATATATTCTGGTTCCGACTCCGGTCCGACCCTCCATCTCGCCCGCACAATCACCGATCCGTCAACGCCCTCCCAACAGTCGCCCTGGGACCTTGCCTTCGACGCCGCCCAAGCCTTCTGTGCCCGACAGCGGCAGCTACGGACAAGCAGTATATAGTCAGCTCCCTAGCAGGTGGACCCTTAGAGTTTCTTCTCTTTGGATCCTCCCCTGCTAGGTCAGCTTCATTTGTATATTTGCTTACCAATGTTCACGCTTTGGATCCTCCCCTGCTAGGACCTTGACCTCAGGCCTCAGGGGCTGCCCTTACACAATTTTCTAGTATATTTGCCGCTTTTGGGCCTACTGCATGATAAATTATCATAGACTGCAGGCTATGATTTATGTAAAGATCGACCCCAATTATTTGGGCTGTCAGAAATTGGCGCTAATAGACCACGCCGCACACTCCCGATTGGCCAAGACAAGTAGCTTCACCGCTACAGAGGGTACAAGGAAACGTAGAGGGAGATGAAAGCGTGCCCTACAGGCAATACAGATGCTGCTACTTATAGTGCTACCCTCGCCCTGCCCTAACCCGAGCTCCGGCTGGCCGCAATCATATGTGACACTGTGCATTACCGTGTGTGTGTGGCACTCCCAATACCGTTAACATGAGCCTATATCTGCCATAACCCACAAAACATCCCACTTTGGGCTGCCTTTGCTTGAAACCCCTAGTATGACACTAGCTATCTGGATGATCAAGTGTCCCCCACCTTTTTGAAAATTTGGACTATGCATTTTTCTTTTCTTTTTAACTTGAGATTGACAGTGTGGAGTTGGACATAAGGCAAACAGCACGTAAAGGCATGGCTAAAGTATAATATCATTGCCTCTCGTATTAGGCATGGTAAACACATGGTAGTAGTGTATGTAAGTAGAGTAGGTTTTATCTTGTACCCCAGTCTTCAAATTCCATCATCTTTATGATATCTTTTCACAGTGCTTCTTGCTTGCCTTCACTGGCCAACTTGTATCCTTTAAATTGGTGTTATTTGTGACATAATTTAAAGACTACCCTCCTACCCTTATACCTTCCTACCCCCTACCACCTACCCAAACCACTCCCCAACCCTGTTACTATTGCTAATTTTCCCACGCGTCTTTCCCATGCCCGCTTCCCTTCTGCTCTAGGTTGTTACTCTCACCTGCTAAGCCCAATTATCTACTCTAATTAGAATGAAGAGCCCACTGGGGTCTTCATTCTAATTAAAAAAGAACATATGAAAATGCCTACACTGCAGTAAAGCTCACAATAAATCTTCTATAACTGCAATAATTTCACAGCATAAGATCATACTGACCCTAAGTGTCTATACTGCAAATATTATGCCTATGCTGCAAATATAAATATTTACTATAAGGCAAGAAGCCTTAAGCTGCAACTAGAGTACTTACTGTAACAATTTATTCAATTCGGCGTCGAAAAACCGCGTGACATCGGCGCCGAAATTAAAATTTCGGCACTGCCTGGGAATCTGTGTGACCGCCGAAAAAATTCGGCCCATTCTGCGGCCCGGAGGGCCGCCGGAAAATTTTTGATGCTTTGATGGTGGTCTGACATTCGGCATCTGAATAATAAGCTGTGACATGCCGAAATATTTCGGCGCCGGAGGTCCGGTGTGACGCGTGACCGCCGAATTGAATAAATTGGTACAGTATGCTGCAAGAAAACTGCAATAATTTCTAGTTATATGACATAGTAACTTTCAAGTCAGTGGCTGCTACATATGCTGCAGTAAGTCCTAGACATTTACTCAAGTATGTAAGTCCAGCTCTATCTAATCGTAAACTACCTGAAAATGAAATTCCTAATTGTCACTAAAATTTCAGCACCTGTGCAGGCCAATACCTACCAGCTCTGTACATGCTGTTACAGAATGTGATACAAGGTCACAAGTGTGACATAGTTCCCAAAAAGGAAATTTCACAGTTTAACAGCAGGATGACTAGAGAATGTCACAGATCGTCACAAAATCAAAGTTGTGCATTTTTACTATACAAACAACTTTTATCAAGTGACCTATAGTTGCAGCTCAATAGCTAGGTTAAAACTGTCTAATCACTGGCCAATAGATAACTGATGGGCCTCTATCTCCATAGATACTTAAGCTAAACACATGAATCAAGTACTAGGTAGAAGGTTCTCAAAGGTATCATTGATCAATGAGATATTTTCATCATCATGATTTGATATGATTACCATATTCACCATTCATTCATAAAAAATGGAATATCTCAAAATTAAAATATGTAAGGTGGCTGGATTGTAGGTGTAGATACTATAGACTGAGGCTCTAGTGTGTGACTTCCTAATCCACAGTGAATATGGGACTGAGAATACAATGTATTCCCTCATCAGTGGTATTCAACCTCCATCAACCCTGAAAGATAAGCATGGATCTTCAGCTAGCCTTGGAGGATAAAGCTGGGAGAGAGCTCATTTAAAAGGTGTATCATATCACCATATCCTAGCCCATCCAGTCATACCATCTGTCACCATCACCTTAATCTATTAACTGCCAAGTATGACTGAATACTGAGTTGAGGAGCATTTTGCTCATATCTTGGGCCCTCATCCATGGAATCTCATGATCCAAGTCGATCGAGTTACAGAGGATATTCCACTATAATCCTACCGACTAGTGACCCTACAGAAAGTGTTGAGGTCACTGAATTCCTAGAGACCCTAGGTGCTATCTAACCTGGTATAGAGATATGCTAGAGGGGCAGGGGCACCAGTTTCTGGGAGGTATACTGTACCCCTACTATTATATATACTCAGATTCCCCAGATTCACCAAGGTTATACCATGGTGAACTCATCATTATTGGAATAGATAATATTGATAATGGTCCTGTACAAGATCCAGAATAGCTATGAGGTTGATTCAAGTGCTGGACAGATTTGTTTGAGGTTTATCATACTTGAAATTCATTTCTGACCAGTTGTAATAGCAAAGACACTCTTTTTTACTCTATGGGTACTACCCTCTCTTCAGCTACCTTTAGTAGCACACTCCAGAACCACAACTGATTCTGGTATAGGGTCCTAGTAGACATTCAAATATCTTCATACACCCACCTCAAGGTCTAACACTCAGTTTATAGACCTCACAATTCCTGTAAACCAGTCTTTGCACTTTCCCAGTAGTTGAATGTCCACCCCAATTCACCATCCAAGAGCATACACTCATGAATCAGAGTATGCGGGTATATGTATATACCTCATTGACTGAACTTGACATATTTTGATCCATAATCAACTAACAGATCATGGCTATATTGCCAATATGATGTATACTAGCAGCCATGTGTATAATGGACATTTACCAGAGATTTCATGGATAAAACAAGATGGGAGGTATTCCATCTCTTAGGGAGACCCTCTGTATGCTTCCTGCTCTCAATCCATTGGGTACCCCTCACTTCTGAGTGAGTTATTAGGGGATTGGAGTAATAAGATATACACCATATATAGAGGTGAATATGATGCCTAAAAATATGGGGGATTCTCATAATTATGAAAAATATGTGGTAGACCAGAATACAACTTGGATCAAGCTTATCTATGAATTCCTCATCAAGATATCAAGTGATCATTGTGCTTGATAACATTTAATGGAGGAAAACTACAGAAAAGTGGTATAACAGTATAGTCTAAAAGTATGAGACCAGACCCACATCAACTAGGTTATTACCTACCTACCAGTATAACAATCATCTGACTTTATGCAGAACCAGTGAAGATATTGCTGCATCAAGGTGTATGATAAATAATGATGAGATAATCTATATGTATTGATAACACTGTATATTCAAGAATATTAATCTTATCTTGCAGGTACACTTGATAGTGCTTGAATCATCTCTGTAAATTGTCTATTTAGTAAAATATCACTATATCAGGTGTAAATCAGCAAATGATTAGCCATTACTGACACAATTATTCAGTTATGACTATAGGTCACTTAACAAAAGTTCTTTGTATAGTTAAAATGCACAACTTTGATTTGTGACAATCTGTGACAATCTCTGGTAATCCTGCTGTTGAA